GGAACATCACTCTCAAATGTAAAAGGTGGTAGTTCAGTGTGTGTTATAGCTCCTTGGACAGAGGTAATGAAGGGGAAAGGTGGCCTTCACACACGCATGGTCACGGGTTCGAATCTCGGAACAATATCCGTCTAAGCCAAAAAAGCTTTCTATCCCTCCAGGGCAGGTCAATTGGTCATCTCCATGGCTATTTCATTAAGTACACCTTACAATATAAGTTGCAATAGTAGGATCAACCAGGCTGTGACCTTGAAGGTTATTCTCCCTCCCAGAAAGAGGGCTGTGAGTCAAAAAGTCCCCTCACTGTTTTTAAGGTATTCAGAAGCGACATACTTCTTCCTGCCTGGGGCGATCGATAATTCATTATACGGTCCCTTGAACTCAGGCATAGGCTTCGGAATCATCGTCGGCGGTATAGCACCGTAGAGTCATAGAGCGGGCTCGTAGAGTCGCGGAGATGTTTACTTCTGTTGCGTTTCTAAGTGCATACAGTCTTATCTTCGCCTGCCATCTAGTGGTTTCAAATTTGAATTGCAGCTCACAACTTGGCTACGGAAGATATTATTTTTTGTCCCTTCGCTACCAAACATGTCAGCTGGAATGTCAATTTTCATACTCTGAGAGAATAAACGTAAGTAACGTAGCACTTACGAAGAAGCTTGGGGATACCTGTAAGCGACTGCACCGCTTACCCATAGTTTCACCTAGGAGGGTCTTCACCTCAGTTGCTCCGTTCCCCGGGCATTGTCTCTTCAATATTCGGCGTCATCGCTTTGGAGGTGTAATGGGATGCTACCGAAAGATTTTTCGGACAAACGCAGCAAGTTCCCACCGGTCACCTAGATGGGCAATCTGGGAGAAAATAGGCAGCTGGATTCAACTCCAGGGCAATTATATGCCGCTTCTGTTTCTCACTCTACTTAACTCGCACTTCTTCTACAGCCAAGAAACCCGGCGATTCCTGTACCGCGTGGTGGACGGTATGCTTGATCTGAACAGGGCATCCATCACGGGCCAACAGCAAACCAGAACTGACCTCCGGACAGAAAAAACATCTACTTTTTCATGGTAATTATGAATAAAAGAATCTGTATCGACATCAGAATTGATTTGCTCGGGTGCCCAAAGTTATTCCAACTTGAACATGGATATATCACCGAAAATCACTGTGCATGTTGGTTCATACGCACCTGACCTGGCCTTGAAATTCTGAATGGAAGTCAAATGCTGAAGTGCATCCCAAAAAAGGGGATTTAGTGATTGCCAGATGACTTAAGCCTTTCTTACCTACCATCTTCCCCATTGGTTTCGGGATAGCATCGGCCGGCTAGTTTCTACGAACTGGCAGCTATCATGTAACCTTTAATCGCAAAATCCTTCTATTCACATTTTGAAGAGAAAATTTATGTCAAAAAACGACAATCTCATGGAGACATACAACAAAAAGGTTACACAACTGCAATAAGTAAACTGTAACTTCAGTATGATCGGTTCCGATTGCGAAGAAATGAATAATTCGGTCCCAAACTGGTCATCACATTGGCAGCACAGAGCGGAGCAGTACTTCGTTCATTGTAGAGGGCATCATTGCAATATCCACATGTATGCCGACATACTCTCACAGCAAATTCAGCGTCACCACAACTGAAAACAGACTTTGTTAAAGAGTTAGCAAGCTAGCACAAGCAAATTAATCAGAAGAATCAATTCTGAACAATCAAGGTCGAAGATGCGAAAGGTCTAAGCTTCTTGCTAAAACCTTGCAAATGGGAGTTTTCGAGGTTCGTTTCGAAAATAGGATAAATTCAGAACATAACTTCAGCTGGACCTGCTCTAAGTTATCTTGGCAAAGTTCGTAAATTCGTTGTTGGGAAGGTCTCACAACCCTCCCAACAAAGAATTTAATTATCCATTACTATACCTGCTATGTACCCACTAGATTCAACAATCATACCTTTCCTTAAACTTAAAACTCTCAAAACTCTCATCGTTAATGATCATGCCCGGCTTTTCATTTGGATGAAGACACGTAGTAAAGTTGTATTCAAAAAATGGCACCAGTATCTAACTTGAGGAGATGCTAATAAAGATTGTGAGGTGCTCTATATGTATGTGATCTCTCGGCAGCCTAAGTATTCTCAAGAACGGTGCCAAAATTTTCTAAAATGATAAGTTTTTAGTAGTTCTCAGCTTCTAGAAAGATAATCATTACTACCGTAACCCTGGCTACTTTATGTTGTCTCATGATAACGGGACATGAATTATTGCAGTTTGGTTCTCACTTCTCACTGAGCTTAATGGCAAGCCATTATGTGAAAATGGCCATAAAAATAGGGGACCTTGCCCAGAAGTGCAACCAACAGATGTCTTTGGAAAGGTACTTTTTTATGGGGGCTGGTGCTACGTGTTACGTACAATGAAGGTAAAAAGAGGCTCAAAAGGTATAATGAATGAGGATGAAGACATTAGTGTTTTATTTATTTTCAGAGTGCTTCCAGTGATGGTGAAAATGAGTTTTGAGTAGTAACAAAGAACCTTTTTCAAGTAAAACCTGAACCTAACGAATGAATGTACGAGTGCCCACAATAATAATGGCAACAGCTCGCTTAAAAAAATTAAACGACATATTTTCCATTATTGATATCTTACCTGTACTTTCCCATTCCGGAAGCCTTGAAACGTCGACAGAACGATGAGGAATGCTTGTCGCGGCAGATCACAGGTGCCTTCAAATATTTCCATTTTCTCTTAATTTTCATTCCTATTTCAAACCAAAGCGAAAAGCTTACCTTCAAAAGAGATTTCGAGTTTTCGGGCTGTATACTATCTGAAAAAAGGAGGACTCATAATAATCGAAAAAGCAACTTCAGAATTCTCTCTATAATCTTCAGTCGTAAAGGAGGAAGGTGGGGAATAGTACTAATTGGTAAGTGGCACTGCTACACAACTTTGATGCGAGGATAGTTATCGTAAAGTTCCCTGGTGACATCATGACAGATTCAGACTCACTTGAGGAATGAAAGCAGTTACATGTAATGGACCGGCCCCGTATTTCATTGTGTGGGCCAAGTATATAGGCCTTCAAATGCACGTACTACTCTCGATGGGGCTTCGGACGCATTTCCACACAAGACTTTTAGGAACTAGATATTTTAATTTTTTTAGCTCTACTACAACTGGGCGCAAAAAAGGAAGTTATAGAAGGCTTCGATGTATCCTTTAGACGCTTATTTGAACGTATCTCGTGTGGAGCAGTGCGTTCTACCTAGAGCTTCTGGTGGGGGTAAGTGTAAGTAGGCCAACCAAAGGTCCAAGATTATAGTGGAAGATTCCTGGATATTACTTTTTAATCCGCCGTAAAAGTCAAANCAAAGTGAGTGATTCTTAGGAGTCTACAAGGCATAACAGACATCAGAATTCACGTACTCAGTTCGATGTATTTACGGCATTCAGCACAGCACCCGAGCGTATGAAAATCGTGATCGTTCAAGCACCTAAATGTTAAATTATCAAATGATCTCGACATGGGGTGTAAATTCTTTTATTTTATATTTATTTATTATTTATTTTATTATTTTATATTTATTTATTACTTATTTTTATGTTATATTATATTCATTATTGATTTTTATTTATTTATTCAATATTCGCTCTTAGGCTTCGAGAATGATGACAGCATTAACGGTAGACGGTTTGACACGAGCCAGAAGAGTGTTGTCAGTTCCAGAGTCTCAACCAAAAATCACCGGAACACAGCTCAGTATTTTTCCTGTTTCGCTGTTGGTAAATAAAGCAGACAAAAGGGTGCAAAATTCAGTTCTGCTGTGTTGTCTATTACTTCGGTACTTTCGATGACTGGTAATCAGAATACATAGTTCCTGCACAAAATACATCTCTCTAGTATCAACCCTATATCACCGAGCCACCGAGCCATGATTTTGGCACTCAAGACGTCCCCGAACCCCGGCCACTCGGCTGGACCTATCACATTCCGTAAGTCACACCCGTAAATAGGTCATCCCTTTTGGTACCAGGAACGGTGAAGCTTCGGTTTGCCATCTTCTGTTCTATGTAAGACCTAAACGACGGACGGAACGGCGAAGTCTGTCACCAGAAGAAGACCTAGAAGTTTCGGACCCGGACGAAATTCTTCATATTAGCAGAATGGGAGGCATTCCAAAAGTATAGAAAAGCGATGTAGAGCACTTAGTTCTCAGCCTTTTCTTGAACAGGCCTCTGTTAACCTTTTTCAATGGGTAGTTGACAATCGGCACATTTAGGACTAATGCACACAGTGGCCATCAATCACTCAATAACTATTAATGGTAATACTAGTATATGAGCAGGGTTGAAAAAATTAATAAACAATGCTCTTTTTGTGGAAGAGGTTAACGGTCTCCGAAAACAAACAGATTCATTCAAGAAAAATAAAAACAAAGCATAATTTATTCGCCGTAGAGTGCTGAAAAGGGTATAAACCGACCGTTTCTCGAAATGAGCTGGCTGAGCTTTCCGTAAGGCTTGACAAGACTGCTCACCGAAACGATCGCGACAGCATGGTAGCGATGGTATGTCTGCAACTGCATGTCATCGGCCATGAATCATGTTTTAAAACCAATAAAGAAAGAATTTTTCCTACTGTAGTTGGGAATTTCCGAGAGCAATTTGTTTAANAAGCGAGAGATCTCAGGAAAGTCACCATCCCCTACATCCGCTAATTTCACGGATTCTTCTTCACATTTAATCCCAGAAATTTTATTTTCTAGTGGCCGAGATGGAGTGGCGGAAATAGGAGCGCTATTACACACTAATGGGACATGGACCGGGTCACGGATCGATACTCGCCCAGGCCGACGAAGCCTATCATCCCTACAGGGTTAGTTCGTTTCAGACGCTTTTGGGAGGATATACATAAGCCCTGACTTGCTCATCAGCTCACTGCCAACGCCTTCAAAACGCTCTACGGTTCTGAGTGGGAGCCGAGCGCACTGAAGATTCTTTTAGACGGGCTTGATCGACGCCAAAGACTTTCCTTACTTATGCTCCCAATTCGGTGAGAACAACTACATAGATTCTATCAAAGAAAACATTACATAGTTGTTCAAGGGCAACGGTAATCCCAAAATAAATAAACAAATAAACAATATTCAGAAACTTGCGATAAATAAATGGAATCTGTGAAGCAGTGTTCACTCCCGATGCTTAAGCCTCTCGCTGCCCTGATCCATTACACTAGGAGATCGCTACTACACAGTAAATGTTTGTTCACACCATTAACTGCTCCAAAGCGAAAACATATGGCAATCAACCGGATAAACTACCGAAATTTCTTGAAAATGAGGTTTACAATTCCCTGCAGCATCGTATGAGGTATTCAATCGGATCTTTTCGTATAAAAATACTTTTTGACAAAAGAAAGGGTCCTTTAGGCCCTCATTTTTCTATTTAGAAAGTAGACATACTGGTATCTCATCTATAGAGCATTAAAATGTAGCCGTTTGACAAGTTGGTTCCCGGACAGTCCCGTCCACATGATTTGAGCGAATTCTGCTGTAAGCAAGCATGCAAAGCATTCCGGATACGTTGCGGTTCCGAGGGAATAAATGACTATGACTGACTATTGTGACTTCAGACAATTTACAATCATTTTATGACCGTTTTTAGAGAAAGTTAAAAAGAGAAGAAAGGAGGAATTGAAATGAGCGTAATCGCTCTCGAAATGCATGGAAAACCAGCTTTTCATTGCCTTCACGCTGAAGAACCAAGCCAGGAAAAGAGTGACCTGGTCGGTTTCCTTGCAGATTTTTTTTCAAAAGGGTTCTGATTAAATAGCACCCATTCAAGGCGGAAGGGAAGCGATAGATGTCCGTCATTGGAAGGGTCTCAGCTATTCTTGCACAAAAGAAAGTGTAACCGTAATATCGTGATATATTACCACCCATAAGCTTTGGTTCATCCACAAATCACCCCCAAAGTCATAAATTGGCCCCGCGTTTTGGTGCTAATTTATGCATTTCTCTGAGATCGTAAATCCTGGATGACGACTCAGTGATGGGGGAGAAATCATCACTTCGTCAGCGCTCACTATCTCGCCACCGGCGGCATTTGAGGCCTGTCTCGTGTGAAACCCGTTCGGTCTATGCCGCCACCGCCATGTCACATTCCGGTCATGACGCATCTCCTCNGCGGGCCCATATCTGTTCAGCTCATCGCTTTCTCATATCAACCGTTATTATCATTAATTAGGCCATCACCATCCGCCTCAGCCATCTACCGTCGTCTTCTCCAACAGCCGTCTCTCCATATGTTAAACTCTCCCCTTTTCCGGACACGGACCTGCCTGAAATTGCTGCAAATGGTTCTGCTTCCATTGACTCTAAGAGCACATAATTTCAAGTTTCCAGAAGCCCAATCGAATTTTTTCCTTTTTTCTCAATTTTAATCGATCTTTATTAACTACTGAGAGTTTTCGCTCGCCATTCATGTGCCATTTATGTGCTCTACAACCCCTTCCCCCACCTCCCGCCCAGGATGGACCATTAGGCTCTACCTAACAACTCCATGAAATCCAGTAAAGGATAACGGATAATTTCTTGGAGCGCTAATAAATCCCATTTGAGGGATGCGTTCACGCATTCGACTTCAATTCAGGATCGTGGTGGCGTACTGAATGTGTATGTAGCCATTACAATGACTTACGATGTACAAGCCAGTATTTTTATCCTCCCAGACAAATCTGGTACCAATTATCGACCCCGGGAGTATGGGAGGCTTCGGTGGCTTAGGCGGATACCGATCCGGGATTCGAATTCGTGACCATGCCTGTATGAAGTGCACCACTTGCCACTACACCACCTCCACACTTTTTGCATGACGTTCAATACTAACACAAAATCTCCTCTCCGAGCAAGCTGGACCATATCAAAAAACATGAAATTACTTCCAGAGAGCTAGGAGTGAGTAACAAATTCTCGACATCGTTAGAGTGGGAGGCCTAATTTCACTTTTCAAAAAAAAAACTCTCATTCCCTCCTTTTGGGACACACTCGAGGATCTTCCCTGAAACAACCTCCTCTTCATGCTTTCTAGCCAAGTATTTACCTCCAATTTTCCGAGAATCTTTGCCATATCGACGAGTCTGGTGCTAATTGGCGATTCCAAAAGGATGGATGCTTAGCTGTCTCAGGGTAGTACCGGTTCGAGGTGATAGTGTGCTCTGTCACTTGCCAATACACCACATACGCC